GCCAGACAACTTTCACGGAACACTAGCGTAAAGCTCACCGGCCTTAGTGTGGGACCCGGCAAGAGAAGTATAGATCCCAACCCCGTGTAACAACTCGCTTATCCACTACGTTAAGCACTACAGGGAATACGGATTGAATGCTGGGGTGGTGGTATTACAGATCTGCACCTCCGTAACTTTAATGACAACAACGCACCGAGAACGAGACGTATAAATAACTAAATTCCGTAGTGATACAATGGAGGGAAGATTGCTTTCCTTTACGGATCCTGCGCTGCCACCATGGTTCATCTTATACCTGCTCTCACCACTGCCTTTTTGGCTTCCAATGTATTCGCACACGGCGATATCCATAAGGAAATTTTGAGAAGACATGCTCATCTCAACCATCCGGAGCGTCGAAGCATCCTAGATTGCAAGCGTAGTCTTGTAGATTCTGGGTGGGTCAGAGAGCAGCACCAAAGGCGCGAGGACAGGCTTCATGAACTGCGAGTCGAAGCCGGCTTTGCACAAGCACACGAGTTGGTTCGTCGCGACCCTGTAGAAGTGGAATTGAGCTACGGTAAAAAGGGCGCATGCACGCTTGATATCGAGCAAACTGACGGCCCTTTCTGTGAGTTCCTCAATCCAGGAGACGAAAAGTGTGTCTGCTAACGCATCTTGAGATATTTCCGGCGAACTCGTTCGGCAGAATATCTTGTCTGGTCAGGGAGGCCCTAAAGCACATGTCGACATTAATTTGATCGACGTACGGGATTGCAGTCCTATCAAAGGTGCTTATATAGAGCTTTGGGGAACTAACGCGACTGGTGTCTACTCCGGCGTGCACTCCGCTGTCAACGGCAACGGCTCGTCGGACCTTTCTTCAAATGCCCTGCGTGGTGTACAATTGACGAATGTTGATGGCACCGCTTCCTTCATCACACTCATTCCAGGATACTATGGTGGCCGTACAAATCATCTGCACAGTAAGACCCCCATTTACACCTCCATATTCCAACGCTAATGATCTTAGCTGTCGTTCACCATCACGCCAAACTCCTTCCTAACAACACTATCGAAGGCGGTACCATCACCCACGTTGGTCAATTTTACTTTGAACAGGAATTCATCAACGATCTCAACAAGATATATCCCTACACCTTGAACAGGCAATACCAAATTGGAAATGACATGGATGCACTCTTTATCTACTACGCTAATCACACTGAGAACCCATTCATGAAGGTCTCGAAGATTGGCAAAACTTACGAGGACGGGTTGTATGCAACGATTGACGTGGGCATTGATCCTCATGCAATTCAGAATTGGACGTCTCCTGTCGGGAAGTGGACTGCTGAAGGTACTGTGGAGGACCCAGATAGTAAATACGCGGGTTGGCCAGGCACACCTCAAGCCGCCGCGCCTTCACCATCCCCATCACCGTCCTCAGATGCGTAGAAGGGTGGTTCTGAGACTTAGAATTTGTAACAAGGCAAACTGCTCAAACACAACATGACGCAGGCAATAGTTCACTTCTTCCGCTCACTTCTCTTCGAGAGACTGAACTTTAGATACCGCACATAGCTAGCTAATAGGACAAAATAACTCATGGCTTGCGCGGATGATCCGCCATGTCGGGTTCAAGATTCCGAGCTCGTATGCCCGTGCCTTGAAAGTATGTAAGATGACAACACGACGTGGCTGAGAATGCAGAGACACGGTGAGCAAAGTGCCGAACCCAGAGGCGACTACTTACGTACTACCTGTAAGTATGCCAAGACCTCCCCACATTGACCCTCCGCCTGCACCGATCCGTGCGGCGGGGACTGTTCCCTTTTCCCACATCATGGTGATTTCAATAAATGCATCGAGTAACGGTTGAGACGAATTTGTATGTTCTGGCTATACGCGATACGTGAGATGCGTCTCAAAGCCCATTGGTACGTATTTGCTGTTCTAGATGCTACTGATTTTGTAATACAAGTCGCTCTTCGCTACTCCTAGAGTAAATCATGAGTTTACCGGATGGTGTTATAGCTCTAGGATGTGAATGCGGGATATAATAGCAGTGGATTCATGACCCTGCTTTTGATCAATAAGCACCTGGTATCTTCCCCCCTTTCCATGACGTTTCCACATATGACCCTCTTTGCTCAACGTGGGTCTACACCAACAGAATCGCGACCCTGCACCACCAAATCGACTGGCGATTACAGCTCGAGCGTTGTCATATGCACATATTGTATACGCATTATCTTGGTAAAGTGCCTCAATATGAGCAGTTAAGGCGGGTCTATTCGTGTCACTCTCATTACAAAGATCTTTAGTCCCAAATGGGGTCTACTGAGCATGCCTTAAACGACAGATGCATTTGAGATGATTACACTCACAAGTCTAATGCGTCTACCTCTTGCGTCACTGTTCTTTCTAGCGATAATTGATTCAAATGAGAGCCTATTGCACATATGACACAATCTACAGCTATATATTGTTAATGGTATTCTTATACGAAGTTCCACTCTGTATTTCCGCTGCGTTAACACTCCCGTTCAACTTCTCAATCACACTTGCTATCTGGAATGACGAAAGTAATCCGCTTAGCCTGCAATGTCCTGCCAGTCTTCGCCCTCATAGGGAAAATCAGCGCGAAGCATGATGAATCAGGTCTATTTGAACCATTTCCCGACTGGCGCATCGAGTATAGATCGTTGTTACATCCCCCTCTGGGCGAAACCCCCGCTATCTGGCTGGCAGCACAAAGTCTCTTGGTCGAGTTGATGGGTGCATTCGAAACCAAAGACTATGGACTTTGGCCTGATATGACTCCCGTCGGCAAGTTGCCAGGAGAAGGCGCCGGCGGGTACCTGGCTGCCCTCTTGCTCCCTGAGGATGACGTCAGATTTTTCTACAGCCACCGACAAAACAGCTCCTTAAGCTACCCAGCTCGTGTCTGTGTAGATATCCTGGAGACCTCGATGGAGATGAAAAAGGTTCCTCAGACGAGTGATGCGCTCGCCTTCGGCTCAAGCTACATCTTCGGAAATGGTTTCGTTACCGGATTTTCAAAATCCGTCTGCAAGGTTTTGAATCCTGATATGGTTAAGACCATGAAGAAGAAGGCTAAGAAGAAGTCGAAGAAGAAGACTAAGATCGATCATCAAAATCTCAATGCTGCACTCAATGCTGGATTCAATAAGCTCACCAACGCGCTTTTTCTTGGCTTGGGTACTGATGTAACTGACACAGCCCTATTCGTATCTCAATTGGAAACACGCCTCCGATACATCGACCGCTCCCAAAACCTGGAAAGAACTTATGGGCGTCTCTTGAGCGACTTTACGTCTCAACAAACGCAGTTTACCTCGATTGCAGCTCACCAGCCTAACGCGTCGAAATCACTGAGGGAATTCAACAAGCTGAGCTGCAATGCTTTGTCACGACTGCCGCACAGAGACATAAAAATCAACCTCGCACAATGGCACGAGACCGAGAATGCGACCGCTATGGTCGGAATGTTTGCCGAGATGTCGATTAAGACCCTGGAGCTTGCAACGCCTATCGGTGGTAGTATTCAAGTAGCTGCACAAAGCGCGATAATGACCATGACAAATGTGCTTCAAAAGTTTGGAACGGTACCATACAGTTTCCTGGATGGGAGATCCTTTGAGAACTCAGAGCCAAGGGTTCAGTTGATGAAGAGGAAGAAGGATGTACCTGTGACCATATACGAGTCGACAAGTTTACTGCCTCCTGTGTCCTCTACCAGCTCTTATTCTGAGCCTCAGATAGCATCACACCCAAGTACCAAGATCGAAAACACCACATTGGAAACCGCCATTGCCAATTCCTCAGCCTCTCAACCATCTCGCACAGCCACCACAACCCCTCAAGACGAGAAACTGAAACCTACAACCACTGTTCCCACCACCTTCGCGAAGCGACCACCCTTCTTCTTCAATTTCTGGCAGTCCCACCCTATCCTCGACAAAGACTTTACCCCCACCATTATCGCTACGCGGTCTCCACCCGGCGAAGTCATGCCCACACCCTTCGATGCCGCACGGGTTGTCCCAGGCATGCGGCGTCCCGGTGTCATCACCGATAAAAGCATACCAATCCTAACCGCAGTGCCTACCATCTTGAGAAGCACGCCGACGATGGAAATCGTGGCGAAGATTGAGACGGCGACGGTGACGACGACGCGTCCTCGCCTTATCCGCGACATGCTTCGTACGTGACACCCGAACTTTCAGCATATGCGTTTGTATGGTACGGTGAGGCAGTGGGTTGGTGGGATGTGGGTGGTGGTGCTTGCTTTCTTGTATTTCTTTTTCATTATGGAGGAAAGAATGGGTGAGAATGGACTTGCTGGAGCTGTCTTTGTTTAATGGGGGCTGCTGGTTTTGATTTAGAGATAGAAGACTTGAATGTCTCTTTCTAGATTGCCTAATTGTATGAGATTCGATTGCTTGTTTGTTCATGCGCTCTTGATGCATATGAGGTATGTTCTACCGGGGGTTAAATGCCGATGGAGGATCGAGCAGATATTCTTCTATGGGGCTATCTCAGGGGTCCACGGCCCAATGGTATATCGATTGTATATCTGGAAACATCTGGGGAACCACGAAGTATCACACGTATGATCCATATTTTTTATCTACACCTGTTAAGATCGCGCCAGATAGTACAGCTGCTACCCAGCGCTGCTCATTTCCATGAAAGCACTATACACGCTCATTGACACTGCACAGCATCGGATGCTTAGCGACAGGTACCGTGAATGAAACTCTTTTATTGCCGAGAGCCATTTATCGTACCGAAAAGATCCTCTCAAACACTCAGAACAACTACTCGATACAAAATCCCACGAAAAACTTCCTAACCCTCCACTCAAAAATTATACAAGCACAAACCCCCACTTACTCCTTTACCCGTGCATTCCAACCCCTCACAACTTCGCCTCCACCGCCACCGCACTCTCCTTCGCCCTTGCCCCTGTAAAATCAACCCCAGCAGTCGGCTGCACCGTCCCACTCTTATTCAAAATCCTCAACTTCCGCAACCGCGAGATCGGCTCATCATCATCCTGCTCACGGATATAAAACGCCCAATCAGCCGTCGGATCAATCTCCGTCTGCGAATACCCATTGCCCAGCCAATTAAACCTATTGCCCGTGTACTTGACGTCCCAGTCGTCCATGCGCAGCTCCATTAGCGCCTCGATGTAGTGGAGTGTTGAGCCAGGCCAGAGCGCGGTTACGGGGCCATCGGGGCCGAGGGATTTGTACCATGAGCGGCAGGGATCGTTCCATACTGTCTTCTTCATGAATTCGTCTTTGAAGGCGATGAAATCGTCGATTGCTTCTGCTTTTGGTGCGAATGACGATATGTTGTGGGTTTGGAAGCGGTCGATGAGCTTGCACATGTAGTCGGCTTGGGCTTCGATGGCACTCAAGACGGGTCCGTTGCCAATGGGGCAGTTGGGGCCGAGGAAGACGAGGTAGTTGGGGAAGTCGGCGGCGGCGAGGCCGAAGTAGGAGCGTGGTTCTTTGGTCCAGGCGTCTTGGAGATTGGTTCCTGAGGGGTTTATGATGGGGAAGCGTGGTTTGAAGGATGTGTTGAAGCCGGTAGCGCAGATGAGGACGTCGACGGGGTACTCGTTGCCGTCGTCGCAGAGACAGCCACGCTCAGTTATTGAGTTGATCTCGCCGTATACGGTTTGTACATTTGGCTTGGCCAGGGCTTCGAGGTAGCCAATACCAGGTGTTAATCGTCTGCAGCCGGCTTGCCAATCTGGAATGAGGCGCTTCCTAAGGTATTCATCTTTTAGCTTTTCCGACATTTGCTCCCGGAAATAAGCTTCGGTTTCATTGTGTATGTTTGTGTTTTTGAGGAAGACGCCAAATTGGCCATTGAGGCCTCGCTCAATATCTTTGCGGTAATCGCGCAAGACCCCGGGTTGTGTAGCAAATGCTAGCTTTTCACTTTCAGAGAAGACATGTTGCTCAAGACCCTGAACAGGAGAAACCCAAGCCGGCTCTCGAATGAATGTTATCACTTTCTTTACATATGGTTGGATTGTTGGAAGAACTTGGATGCCGGAAGAGCTTTGGTGGGGTTAGCGTATGCTAGTTATTGGAAAGTACAGAAGACTCACCCATTTCCAATAAGACCAACGTTCTTGCCTCTCAGGTCAATACTCTCATCCCAATTTGCAGTGTGAAGTAGTGTGCCTTTGTATTTTTCCAGACCTGGTATAGCGGGCCATTGCCAGTTGTTCAGAATGCCTCCAGCATTCACTAAGATATCACAATGGTCATCCACTATTCTGTCAGTCTCGAGGTCTTTGATTTGCACATTGTAGCCTCCTTTTTGCTGGTTCCATTGTGCACCAATGACCTGGTGTTGGGTCTTGACATATTTATGGAGTCCGAACTTTGATGCAAAGTCGTTGAAGTATGTGTATATCTCTTTGGAACTGGCGTAGACAGCCGACCAGTCAAGCTTCGGAAAGAAAGACCACGTATAGTTGTGAGAAGGCACATCGCATGCACATCTGCGAGTGAAAATTAGTAATCGCCTTGATTTTCCATAGATAAGTTAGAAGGGCGAGTTGTGGGGCCAGAGTAGCATTGTCCCCGCACCCCAAGATCTTAGCCGGTACTTACCCCGGATATCGGTTTTCATACCAAGTGCCCGACACTTCAGGATTTTTCTCGTAGACCTGAAGACTGTAGTTGGAAAAATGTCTTTGCAGCTTGTATGCCATCAGGAGACCTGAAGCACCAGCACCGATACATATGACCCGGACATGGCGTTGCGCGTGAATTGGTCCTTGTAATCGATGTCGAGCATCCGATTCTGGACTGGCTGATGATGGGATGATAAATCCGTCTGCCATTGTGTCAAGATGTTATGTGACTCGACAAAGGAGCTTTGAGGGAAGACAAGATGATCAACGGCTTTGACCAGAGATATACAGGTTCTTAAATTCTATTGTTGTGACAGGACTACAACGCCCTGCTCTCAAAGAGTCAGACATGCGATCGATCGCTCCACAATCCGAGTCAGGCTAGTCATGCGTCAAAATCTGGGGTTCGGCTAAGTGCGTTCAAATTCATACCGGGGAATCATTTAGTGTGGATGACTCGTAATAAGGAGAAAAGATGCAAGTGACGCCCTGTAGCATGACGTGGCAAACGATTTCCGTAGCTAGGTAATCATTGCATGACACGGCAACTCGAAAACTGACCCTTGAAAGTTGGACCGGATATCAGTGGGCGATTCATGCGAGCCCTGGATAGTCAGCACGATAGATTTGTTGGAGTGTAGTGGCAGATGTAAATCTCCAAGTGAGATGGAGCTAGCAGTTACAGTTGGGGTGGAGAAAACAAGTCTGCCGAGATGACCCCGACTTTGGTGAATGTTGTTGGCAAACACTTTTCGTACATATGCAGAAGATATAATAATGTATTGAATGGTCGGCCAACGACTGAATGAATGCACTTGCTCCGGTCTTTATGAGACTGTGTATCCACCGTCTGCAACCAAATTGGCCCCAATCATGTAACTAGCCGCATCGGAATGCAGAAACGCAATGCAATCGCCAATCTCTTCCATCTCTGAATAGCGGTGAATTGGGACCTTCAACCTCTCTTGCTCTATCATGTCGCCTTTACTCATGGTTTCACGGACCAGCGGTGTCAATACGTAGCCAGGGGATATGGCATTGATTCTGATGCCTTTGTGGGCGAAGGCGAGCGCATCAGCTTTGGTAAGGCCGACAACTGCATGTTTGCTTGTAGCGTATGCTGTAGCCGGGACATTAAGCGGCGGTGCTACCACACCATACATGGACGCTACGTTAACGATGGACCCCCGATAGGAGCGATAAGAGTCCAATAATTTGTCTTGCTTCAACATCTGCCGGATCTGGGCGCGCTGACATTGCCAGACAGCAATTGTATTGACAGACACAATCTTCTCAAAGTCGTCCCTTGGTATCTGATCCGACGTCTTGATCATGCCACTGATGCCCGCATTATTGATCGCGTAGTCCAATCTACCGAATTCTTTGACGGTCTTTTCTATGCTATCATCAACAGCCTTTTCATCGGTGACGTCTAACTCGAACTCTTTGACCAAGACATCAGGCGATATTTTGTTCAGTTCGCTGACTGTCTTTGATACGGGGTTGCGATCGACGAGGGCGAATGAGCGCACTCCCTGCCTTGCAAGAGCATATGCAGTGTGCTGTCCGATGCCTTGATAGTGTTAGCCACAAGAACTACGAGGTCCGACGCATCAGTCTGTTGGACATACCAGAGCCAGCACCAGTAATGTATGCGACTCCCTTCAAGACGAATGACATGGCAACAGGATTAGTGTAAAGTTGCAAATTACGCGCTTTTGTACAGGTATCGAATTCCAGTACTATGTGTACAAGCAATCATTTCACCAGCTGTCTTCACTACATCCCCGCTACTTGATTAGGACTAGCATCGTACAAGCTGCAACTCGGGAAGTTCATATGTCCGCATCTCTAGAGGGTAAGGCGCGATGCCGGGTGATGCCGCTCTCGCGGGGTAGATGGGCATTGGGGAAGGCCGGATGATCTTTTCCCGATGATCGTGGGCCTGAATCAACCTAGTCCGCTGCACGTATGCTGTTTATTTCATTGTAGATGGAGTAAGACGATTACCAATGCCACGTAGGTTTGAAAGCGGCGATCTATCAGGATAAATTGAAGTTGGCCATGTCTACCACGCAGTGGTGTGACGCAGCAGTTTCGCGTACATAGTAATTCCAGTACTGTGCGAAGATTTTTGGTCAAGCCTTGTTTTAGTGTTCCATTAGAATCCCCCGTCTGAAACTGCTTTGGAAGATCACAAAAAGGGGTTGTTGGTTGCTGGTATGGCCATAGGTGATGCACGTGACTTCGTGTCGCTAGCGCGGCTATGCAAAACATCCACCGCCACACTCCCCATACCCTTGCCCACATCCCCCTCATCAACGCGATGCGCACCCCACAATGACACCAACCCCGCACAGGATCGCGCAAACCTCGACCGAAGTCAAGCGGCAGCACAAAAAAAATGGCCCGGTTCTCAGTGAGCGGCAAAGGAAGCAGCTGGAGCGCGAGTTGGAGTTGAACAAGCGGGCCACGTATGCGCGAGAGGCCGAAGAGCGCCGTAAAGCCGCGAAAAAGAAGCGCACAGAGAAAGAAGCAAAGGAAGCCGCAGCCCGAAAGCAGCTGGGGGTTGGATTGGCGACGCAGCTGATTGGATATAGCCACACCCAGGCGCAGCTGAAAAATGGGATGGAATCTTTTCTTGGGTTGAATAAGAAAAGGAACGATGACGAAAAACGCAAAAAGGAGTTGGAACTCACAAGAAAGTTAGAGGAGGCGGTTGTCAATCTGGAAAAGGAGCCATGGTATAATGACGAGGAAGACAAGGATAAGGACCTTGACCTGCCTCAGTCGAATGCTTCATTGGGCGAACAATGGGCGGACGACGACTTGGACGACGACTCTCTTTTGGAAGCACACAACCTAGTTATGTCAGATTCAGCTGAGGAAATCCCTGCGAATGCACCGCCACCATTACCACCACCACCTGCCGCTCAAATCACACCAGGTCCGCTACTCGCCCCGATTACGCCAAAGCCTGGTCCTGTCAACGAGGACCTCGATTTCACCCGCACCCATGGACCCATAAATAAAACAGTAGAGGCTACTCTGGATAAACTGGCTGGGTCTACGATAGAATTTCTCTCCCAGGATGTCTCGTTAAAGATGCACGAATGGGACCCGGCTCTAGGGCTATTGCATAAACTGAATCCTGTGGGACTACCACCGCATCGTCTACGTCTCAGAGTCGGCTGCGTTGTTACTGTACTAAGAGACTTACATACGAGCAGTCAGTTATCGAAGAGTCAACATCTTCGTATTCTGCGATCTGAGAATGACCGGCTGGAATGTTTGGTCTTGGATGGACGGCTAAAAGGCACCAAAACATTCCTTACTCGGGTTTCCTTCTGCGCAAAATACAGGAACTTGGACCAATATCCATTTCAACGCACACAGTTTCCCATCTGCGTCGCCATCAATTACACGTCATCTCAACCGCCACGGGACACACCGCAAGCTGGGTTCAAGCTACCTTCTATTCCAGGTCGGATATCGCCTCCTATTTTATCCCGAAAGACGACATCACCAGGGCTACGAGCAAAGCCTCAAGTAAATTCGAATCCAGACTTCAAGCTTCCCGGTCTTCCAGCGTCGAAATCAACCTTGTCGAACATTTCGAACACAACAACTGCTGCAGATACATCCTTAAAGTCACCTGCATCGCCAGCGCCAGCCGATTGCTGGGACGACTTTTTTGAAAGTAGTACGCAAATTTCGCGTGAAATTGCCTCTGAAACAGAACCCAAGGCCATCGGAACCAGCACGACCTCTATTGCCACTTCACTTCCCATCGTTGAGGACCTCCCCCCAATTTCCACCCAAGACCTGAACTTCTCCCTCGACGATCTGGATGATGAGCCTGTTCATAGTGTCTCTAATCAATCGAAAATCCAAACCACTCCTATGGCGTCGAAAATCATACCGACAGCACTTTCAGAGAGAGCGTCTTCTGCACAAACCCACAAGACAACTCAAGTTGCACCTGTGGCACCACGAGTGGAGCCATTGGCTATGCCATTGAAGTGCGACCCTATCATAACATCTACATATACGCCAGCACGCTCGTCTGCAGTCACCAACAATAGCAGACCCTCAATGTCTAATAAGAAAATAGCTGGAAAATGTTTGAACCCAGGGCCTTTTGCAACAGGTCTTGATGCTGAACTTGCAAAGCTCAGAGCCTCACAGCTGCCGAAGTCAATGTCCGTAGCTAATACAAAACGGAGAGCCACTACAGCGCCATCCAGGACGCATGCACCACCGGCGAAAAAGCAATGCGCGGTCGAATCGCATCCTACCTTAACCTCGAAGCCGGCTGCCACGACAGCGGCGAACACCTCATTTGACGACTTTATCATGTCGACTCAAGAAGTAGCATCCTTTTTTGACGATGACGACACCTTAAGCTTTGGGTCACCGCCCATTGCAGTATGAATAACGAAACCGGGGCATGTGTGGATGATGCCAACATGAACCGCCATTTTAGGCTTTGGATATGATACCCTTTTCCTATCTTTCAACAACTAGAAGAAACAATAGTATTGTATTGCTCTTATACACCTTACTCCCTTCTTGATACTCACACAGGATGTGGGTGATGAAACTTGCTAATGTGTTCGTACCTATACAAAAGGAAGAGACACCTACTACATTATCCCCTCAAACTCCTCCGGCTCCAATCCCCACTTCTTGCACAACTCCCTATACCTTTCCGTATACCCCTTCGCCTTATCCCTAAACCCCTGCGCCGTCTTCATCTGATCCCTTCCAACCTGATGTCTATGCGCCGAATCCGGCCCATCCGCAACCCTCACAAATCGCGCATACGTCCAAATCTCAGGCAAAGGCGTATGCTGCGTGAGTCCCTGCCCACCATACATTTGCATCGCCTCATCGATAACTTTAAGCAGCGCATTCGGAACCATAATCTTACTCTGCGCAATCGCATACTTGCCCGCCTTGTTGCCCTGTAGATCCATGGTATCCGCTGCGTTGAGAACGACGAGTCGCATCGCATCAATCGTCATGCGCATATCCGCTATCCGCTCGATGTTGCTGTCGAACTCGCCGATGAACTTGCCCCGTGGCTTCTTGCGCGGCTCCATGCATCGTACGAGCGCGAGTTCGAAGGCGCGTTCGGCTTGGCCTATGAGCCGCATGCAGTGGTGTATACGACCGGGTCCCAGTCGCCCTTGAGCGATTTCGAAGGCGCGACCTGGACCTAGGATGATGTTTTCTAGCGGCACCCGCACGTTCTCGTATACGAATTCGCCGTGGCCCTCGGGCGCCCAGTCGTAGCCCATTATGGTTAGGTTTCTGACTTGCCGGAGCCCGGGGGAGTTGGCGGGCACAACGAGCGTCGTGTGTCTGTTCCAGGGATTGGGGTTGGAGGGGTCGGAGCACCCCATTAGGATGAAGAGTTGCATTTCTGGGTTGTATTGGCAGTTGCCGTAGAGCTTGCGGCCGTTGATGATGACTTCTTTGTCTGTGATTTCCATTTTTATGGCGATTTGCGTGGCGTCCGAGGAGGCGACGTCGGGTTCCGTCATGCTATAGGCCGAGGATATATCGCCGTTCATGAGGGGGTGTAGCCATTTTTCTTTTTGGGATGGGGTGCAGTATTTTGCGAGGAGTTCGATGTTGCCGGTCTCCGGGGCGTGGCAGTTCATAGTCTATTTAGGAAGTCAGATGTGTGCTTTATTGTCCGGTATGTGTGATTTTGGGAAGGTTGGGTTTACCTGCGCTGCCCAGTACACTCTTCCCATTATCTCTGCGCAACATGAATACTCCAGATTCGTTAATCCAGGACTCTCAACAAAGTGGTTTGGCAGGAACAGATTCCATAGTCCCTGCGCCTTTGCTTTTTTCCGCAGCTCGTGGATGATGGCTGGAGTCTCCCATCTCGTCTTGCTTGCGCTGAGTTGAGCTTTGTATATGCGCTCTGCTGGTATACACTCAGTCTCAACCCATTCATATACTTGGTGTATCTTTGAGATTGCAATCGGACGCAACTTTGCTTTGACCCATGGTGGTATGCGCGAGAAGGCTGCATGGCTGTTGATGTCTGTGTCCATTTTTGAGGATGATGGGGCTGATATGAGTGCGATCTATGATGCAAGCATATGTCGCGGGAAGAGTAAAAAGACGCGACTTGAACGTGTGAATCGAAAGTCATGACTCGCCGCTGCATGCTGCATGCATACAAAACGACGCGTTAGTGGCGCGCTCGGTCGAAGCCGAGGCTACTTTGGAGTTCTGGGGACTGACGGGATTCTTCGGAATTGTTTAGGCGTGAAGGTGGAGAGCGGAGGTGGAGTACCGCCCCCGCACAATGCAGTGTGGAGAGACTACGCTACTAGTACTACGCTTCCTTACTCATGACACTAACAACATCCGTGATGCTGGATATGCGCATTACACCATGAACGGAGATAGAACTCTCCAAGTGCGATACTTGGCGATTTAAGTTCATCACTGTGGAAATTGCAGTTCATCACATATGGAGAAGTCACCGCTGATGTGGCGCTGTTTCCCAAATATTGGTTAGCGTGGATAGACATACCTTCAGAGGCCAGATCTTTGCGGACTCAAACAATCAATCTTACATCTCAACAATAACAAAAGAATCATCTCAATTCAAAGAACGATCTCAATTCATGAGCAATGGCTAACGAGGGTTTTGCAAAGCCATGGCTAGAGGTTTGTACGAACCTCGTAACGGGTCCTTCAATCCATATTGACCGATGTTCAGTTCGAAGAGGAATTCGGAGAGCGTATAATCCTGGAGCCGCCTCTCTCAAATTTGTTCCAACAATATACACGTATCGGGGAACTTATGGCAGCCAAGCACGTATTTCCTGTGCCAGATCCTTCTGTTAAAACAGAAGATATTACGACGGAAAAAGGGTTCAAGCTGCGCATATACACACCTGAATCATACAAAGGTGACAGGCCAGTTTGTATGTATTATCATGGTGGAGGCTGGGCCATGGGCAACGTAGACGGTGACGATCCTTTTAGCAGAGCCGTTTCAAAAGCGGGTGATATGGTGGTTGTTTCCGTTGAATATGGACTTGCGCCCCAGAATGCACATCCGGGATTGATGAACGAGTGCTACGAGGCTCTGCAATGGGCTTTGAGGAATTCAAAGCGGTTGAACACCGCTGACGGAAAGTTCCTCACGGCGGGCACTTCAGCAGGTGGACAGCTCGCGTTGGCAACTGCACTGAGGGCTATAGATGACGGACTAGCAGAGCAGCTCGTGGGTGTTATTGGCCTTATGCCGGCAACAGTCCATCCAGATGGGGTACCGAAGGACTTGAAGGCCAAGTATACGGCTATGGAGGAACATGACCGGCATACTCTCAACACTGCAGGAACAATGCGGGCGTTCTGGGGTAACATGAAACCCCCATTTCCAATTAATAGAAGTGCTAACATCACGTAGACGCTTTTGGCCCACCGCCAACCGATCCCTATGGTTCCCCTCTCTTGCATTCTAGGATCAAGGATTTGAAGAAGGTGTACCTTGCCGTTGCAGGACACGATACGCTGAGAGACGATGGTTTGCTTATGAAAGAAAAGCTTGATAAAGCAGGGTATGTACAGCATATACCTTTTTGACCAATGTACTAATGATCATCTAGTGTACTCAATCGACTCGACATGTATGAAGGCTACCCGCATTTCTTTATGGCTTGGCAATCTTCAAAGCTTGATAAGCCGAGGAAGGAATTCTTTGAAAAAATGATAGAAGGAGTGAGATTTGTCCTAGCATAAGGAGCTATCTTTGTGTTCCATCTGCAAACACTTAGAAACGTACGCATACTATAGTGTTCTTTGAGGTAAAGATGAAGGACTCATACGTTGTACCTAGCCAATTGGTCGTCTAGCAACTCCCACACTGCTGGGCAAAAAATAGCCTTTTTGATTCGGGCTAGTGCAATATGTGCTGTTCTACCGGCACCAACGATACGATATCCGGAAAAAGCATGCCGTAGTCTAGTGAGAAAATCGCCGAGTGTTTGTTATATCCGTAGACCTCTTCACCTCGCTTACTACTTGTTGACCGCACTCTCTACCCTTTAGCCTCGCTTTCTACTCAACCCCGCTTTCTTCCTGTCGGCCCCACTTCCTATTCCTCCTAAGGGGACACTGCCTAATGCATCTGGCTAATCCCTGCCAATTTACGAGGTTCTTTGGAAGACTGACTTTATTAGGATGCCTCGTCATATCACTTGCAGGGTTCTCACACTATGTTCGCCAATGGTGCGGAATACCGGCAACAGATGGAATTTGTCTAGGTACAAATATAGCTTGAGAACGAGCCACCGTGCTACTCAAATATATATGGACTTGACCACTAAAGTATCACGTAATAAACTGCAATCATGAAAGCCGGCCAGTGGGACCCGTAAGTTCCTCCTTCCCTCACCCATACAATCCCACAAATTTTCATACAACCATAAGCAAAGAACAAAAGGTCGTCATCAACGACATACCCAGGCCAACCCCAGAACCCTACCAATTCCTAGTCAAAATACACTCTGCATCACTATGCCACTCCGACCTTGGAACGAGGTTTCGCAAAAACTACCCTGTGACACTCGGCCACGAAGGCGTCGGCCATATTGAATCCATGGGCTCCGAAGCCTCAGGTCACGGTTTCTCTATCGGCGACGCGATCGGCTTCAACTACTTCACTGGTTGCTGTTTCACGTGTGATGGCTGCAAAGTAAGCAATTCGCAGTGTGAGACAGGGAAGCAGCAGCTGCAAGGCTTTGCGGTGGATGGGTTCTTCGCAGAGTATGCGGTTGTGGATTGGATGAATGCGATTAAGTTGCCTGCGAGCCTCGATATGAAGAGGACGGCACCATTGTTCTGTGCGGGGATCACGGCGTTTAATAGTGTGGACTCGTGCGAGTTGGAGAAGGGTATGTGGCTGGCGATTGTGGGGTGTGGTGGGTTGGGTCAGTATGCTGTGCAGTATGCTAAAGCGGTACGTTAGTTTTCTTATTTCCTTTATTGTATCTCGAGCCCTTGTTGTTAGAAGAGGCGAGATGAATCCAAGGCTGACTAAATAGGGCAGATGGGTATCAAAACTATCGCTCTCGACATAAACGACTCTCAACTTTCCATGGCAAAGAAACTCGGCGCTGATGCGACTTTCAATTCCAAAACGAATCCAAATTATATTGATGAGATCAAGAAACTCACAGATGGTAAGGGCTGTCATGCAGCTGCTGTCTACTCTGGCTCAAACATGGCGTATGCCGGCGCACCCCATCTCTTACGTACGGGAGGGTTGCTCATGGTTGTCGGGATTCCACCCAACAACCTTGATTTCATCAATGCAGTTGACTTAACGTTGGGTCGATATAAGATCAAGGCTGAGAGCATGGGTGTTTCTCAGAGGATGAAGAAGGCGGTGGATTTTACCGGGGAACATGGTATACAACCTGAAGTCGAGTATCGTAAATTGGAAGATTTGCCAAATATGGTGGAGGATATGAAAAAGGGTCTTGCCGAGAAAAGACAGGTCGTTGTGTTTTAAGTACTAGGGGAATGGGATAGTAGCGTTAGGAACCATGCGTAGTGTCGGTATTTCGGCAAGACACTGAATGATGAGTTATCTTTTCGAAACTTGTTTTTCAACTCATGAATTCTTGTAACAAGAGATGATCGATATGTGCGTCAAAGATATAAGGATCTGATTCTCAAGGTCCAATCGTGATTGTACCCCTTATTTACAACTTGGCCTTGCTCATCTTCTCCGCATCCCTCCTTGCCCACTCCTTCAAAAGCTTTCTAACAATCTTTCCTGATGGTAGTTTCGGTATCTCATCTACAAATACGATACCACCAACAAGCTGTTTGTGCTTTGCCACCTTTTCCTTCATATGCTTGTGAATGTCTTCAATAGTCGTTTTGCCCTTATACTCCTCCTTTAGTGTAACATAAGCGCGGGGCCACTCTTGACCATCGATCGTGATCCCCACAGCAGCTGCATCAGCAATGGGGTTATACTGGAGTAGCACTGCCTCGAGTTCTGCAGGCGCAACTTGCAATGCATTCACTTTGATTAGTTCCTGTAGTCATGTTAGGACTTGACTTGGGCGGGCTGTATTTTCCCTTCAGTATATAGTCACCTTCTTGCGATCCACAATCCAAAACCATCCTTTCTTCGCGACGGCAACATCACCAGTTTTCAGCCAGCCATCTGGAGACAATGCTTCTCTCGTAGCTTCGGGGTTGCGCCAGTATCTCAGAAAGACTTGTGGTCCTCGGATATAGAGATCACCGGGCTGGCCTTCGGGAACTTCATTGCCGTCATCGTCGAGGAGCTTGGCCTCGCAGTTCGGATCTAAGTTGCCCACACTTCCAGAACTATTGAACGTTAACAGCATTCGAGTTAAGCATGATTCTTGCCTTACTCATCTATTGTGCCACCAGTTACTTGCGTTCCTGCACAAGTGAGTTCAGTCATGCCCCAGCCCTGTATGATCTCACAGCCCAGCTTGTTAGTTATCTCATTCTGGAGCTCCTTCGACAACGGCGCTCCGCCAGACAAGATATCCGTGATACTACTCAGATCATAGTTCTTAGTTTCCGGTCTCTTACTCAGCATAATCAAGATAGGAGGCGCCAGTTGGAGGTGCGTTATCTTGTGATCTTGGATGATTCTTAGAAACTCGGGATATTCGAATTTCTGCATGATGTAAGACGGGACCTGAAGTTTCTGTCCCATGATAATAGTGTACATCTGACCATAGGCATGATATAATGGTAAGAAGGAGATCCATCTCTCAGCGGGTCGTTTGTCAGCGGTCCAGGGTTTGTTGGCAGATCGCATGAAAATAGTTTGCTCACCATTAGCGATCAAATTGAAATGGCTCACTTCGACACCTTTGGACAGCCCGGTAGTTCCAGATGAAAAGTTTACTGTTGCGGTAGTAGTCGTTGCTTCGTGTTCTGACAAAGCAGGAAATTCGTAGCCTTTCACCTCGGCCTGTGATGGAAGGAACTCTCTCCAGTCTCTACACCCTTCAATTGGTGCACAAGGCTTGTCGGAAAACAGAAAGACACGACCTTCTGGCAGACCAGCTTTTTTTGCGGCAACCACTGCCACTTTTATCAAGCTGGGATGCGCGAGAAGAATTTGGGCTTGGGTGTTGGTAACCTGGTGTACCATCTCTAAGATCTGTCAGCTCATCACGGCAAACACGTGATGCAAAAGACTTGCCTGAGAGGGTATAGGCTGGATTGCCACCGCTGAATATACGCTTTGATCCAACTATTCCAAGATATGCAACTGGGACGAAGATGTGATTGGGCGTGAAGATCATGACAACTTCTCCTGGTTTGCTACCAATACGATCTAAGCCCACTGCCAATCTTTTGGTCCATTGTAGCATGGACCGTGGCGTAAGGTGGCGCTCTGTATTTTTTGAATCAATCCATAGTGGCGTGTCAGAGGGAGTTTGTTCTTGAGGAAATAGATAGTGCAGCACATTGCATTTCGGGATGGTTAATGCGGGGAAAGGCGATGAATAAGGCATGTTGGCGGATGACAGCGGGATGCACGCTCAATCAGGTCGATGTAGACTATGACAGCTATTTAGAAACGGACGAACCCAGAAATTGACAAGAGAAAATGAGTTCACAAGCGGTCAACGCTATAGTCCAAAACTACGTGGTTTGTTAGCTGCAGCAACCACCTCACATGACCAGCTACGGGATACCCGGACCGCACAGACCGCACTCCTTGTTACCGAGGATAAGTACCTGGTTATCGGACTCCACTGACCGAGCTCCTCAGAGTCAGACTATCTTTGTCTAGTACTTATCAAGTATGGTATCCTGATAAACCATTCTGTCGTTTCTCTATGGTCTTTTACCAATCGGGGAAATTCATCATGTCTGATATTAAGGACTTCAACCGCATGTTCAATCTTGACGGCAAAGTCGCTTTGGTTACAGGAGGTGAAGTTAAACAAGATTCGATGGCATGAAATCTTACTCAGATTACCAGGTTCTAGAGGATTGGGTCTGCACACTGCGACTGCATTTCTCCTCGCTGGAGCAAAGAAGGTTTTCATCTCCGCGCGTAAGAACGAAGGAGAGCAGGGCATTGACCAAGCCGTTGAGAAACTCAATAAGTTGCCTGTTCCTGGAATTGCAGTTGGTATCGCCGCGAATGTCGCAGATACTGAGGACATAGAAAGATTGGTTAAAAAGGTGCAGGAGACCGACGATAAGTTGGACATCCTTGTGTGCAATGCGGGAGCCACTTGGGGCGGCCCTTTTGATCCCACGCCAGATTGGGCGAGCCAGAAAGTTTTGGACCTGAATGTCCGTGGTGTCTTCAATCTTTGCAGATTGTATGTACGAAATAAAATATTCAGAAGCGCGTCCACTAAGAGCATCAGGTTCGCGCCTTTATTGGAGCGCGCTGGCACTCGCGTCTCCCCCTCTCGCATCATTATCGTATCCTCAACGGCTGGAACGACAGTGTCTCATGTAGGAGAGCATGGGACTATCATGTATAGTGTTTCCAAAGCAGCTGTGAATCATTTGTCGCGACAGCTCGCAATCGAGCTTGGGCCGAGGAACATCACGACAAATACCGTCGCGCCTGGCTTCTTTCCTTCAAAGCTCGCTAATGGCTTGATTGAAATACTAGGCGGACAGAAAGAGCTGGAAGAAATGAATCCTAGGAAACGATTAGGAGAAGCCTCAGACATTGCTGGGGTGATGGTATTCTTGTGCAGTCCTGCGGCAGCGTATATCAATGGAGAGGATATAGCTGTAGATGGTGGAGTGAGACTGACAAGTGGACGGTATTCAAAGATCTAAACAATTGATTACTCTCCAATCGCGCAGATGTGTTGCATAATCCCTACTTGCTTTTGCCTTCAATCCTAGTCAGCTGCTTTGTCATACTAGTATTCGTCATCATCTCCTTCATATTGTCATCACAGTACTCAGGTCCATCCCTGAAGTAAAAGTTCCTTCCGTTAACCTCCACGGTCAATCCCCAAATCTCATTCTTGCTCTTTGTTATCCCCTTCGCATCTTTCATTTCTGCACCTTCAACTAGCTTCACAACAGTGTCAGAGACAGTCTCGACTGGTGTAAAATGCTCGGCCGGGAAGAACTTCCACTCTTCCTCCGACATCAACGCTGTTTTGATAGTCCCAGGACAGATGGTAGATGTGCGTACGCCTTCGTTGTGATATGCCAATGCGATTGCGCGATTGAAAATTATCAATCCAGCCTTGCTTCCACTGTAAATGGGACAGAACTCGCTCGGATACAGACCACCACAAGAAGCTGTCATGATCAGAACAGGATCCAATCCATCTCCGGCATTCTTGGCTTTGGTCTTGCGAAAATAGTGCAAAGCGAGATACGACGTATCAACCACGGCCTTTTAATTTATGTCGGCGCTGAACTTGTTTGGTGGTGGGGGAGGTGGACCATTGAGATCATGCTTTGCGTAGAAGTTATCTCTCTCGACGATTCCGGCATTTGCAAATACGAAGTCGAGGCGTTCGGCATTGGTCCAGGTTACCTCGAAGGCAGAAGTGAGAGACTGATAGCTTGTAACGTCGGCTTGATGAAAAAAGGCGCCCTTTAGCTCAGATGCTGCTTTTTTGCCTGCTTCGGCGTTTTCGTCGACTATGTGAATGTCCCAGTTTTCGCTTAAGTGGTTTGAGAGGGCCTTCGCAGTAGCGAAACCTATTCCCGAAGCTCCACCGGTAATCAGAGCAACTTTTATAGGCATCTCAGGAAGCGTCTTATATGAGGTATGTCTTTTTTTGGGTGTCGAAAGAGTTTAAACAACTATCAGCGCATCTTGCAACACCAGTGTTTTCTACGAGGTATGAGACATATCCGGTGTAGTACAACATTCCTTCTCCGCATCAAGGAAAGGAGGGGATCTTCCGGGGATAAGCAAATATTTCTATCGAAATCTCATGACCTCCGTTCTTTGGGTTGACGATAATAGATAATTTGCAATTCTCCCTAAGTCATCGTCGCTATTCCTTGCAATATTTTCGCTACCAGACATCGGTGTTATTCAACGATGAACGCTTCTAATCCATGCCCTAACATGACTCTCGAGCGTATACGAATAATTAATTTAGCGATTCAAAGACAGGTATCCGTTCAGTGCGGGATTTCTCATAGTATGACAGAGTCGGGTGCGGGGAAAGTGGAGTAGATGACTCGCTACCGCATGCCATGACGGCAGCGGAAAACAAAGCGCGGGCAAGTTTAACATCAGCCGGATCCTTGACTCTCCACCCATCAAGTCGTTGCCAAGCCACTTTCTCTACACGTAGTACCCTCGGCTACATATGGATTCATTTGGTTGGCTGAGACTGACCATCATTAGGCCCAATGCCATTTCGGCCAGGGTGTGTTACATCCCCTCGGAACTGCATATTCTCATTGAGTGGCACTATGCAGAACGAGAAGATCTGATCCCAGCTTTGATAACCCCTCCTGAATTCTTGCGCATTGAAATATTCTGCTAACCCTCTCGTGATTTGCTTTCGCCGTAAGATTTCAACAGTACATTGCTCATCATGGCACTCCAGTACTCACCGAAGAACCTTCCCAAACAGATATTCATCAACAATGAATACGTCAACTCCAAGTCTGCTAGAAAGCTCACACTGCATAATCCCAAGAATGGCGAGCTCATCGCCAACGATGTACCTCTCGCAGGCGAAGAAGACGTTGACGCTGCTGTCGATGCCGCCGAGAGGGCCTTCCCTGCATGGAAGAAAATGAGTGCCGCTCAGCGGAGAGGCATAATGAACAAATTTGCCGACCTGATTAGTAATAATGCCAACGAAATCGCACAACTATCGAGAATATCGCTGGGTGCGCCAGCGGCTTTTGGAGCCTTCGAAATTGGGATATGTGCTGAGGTAGGTCATCTTGCAGTAACAACTTCTAACGATTCAAACTAGTAGATCTTACCGTTCAATAGGCTTTCAGATATAACGCTGGTTTCATTGACAAGTTTGGCGGAGAGTCATGGCCTCAAGAAGACGGTTTCCTCAAGATAGTCCGGTATAGCCATTTCCACTTCCCATGTCATTCAAAAACTGACACGGCCCCAGCAACGAACCATTGGGCGTTGTAGCAGGAATAGTACCTTGGAACGGTCCCATTGGTACGATAGGCCTGAAAGCCGCACCAGCCCTCGCAACAGGAAACTGCTTCATTCTCAAGCCCTCTGAGAAAACGCCATTTTCCTCTCTTGCTCTCGGCACACTCATCAAAGAAGCCGGTTTCCCGCCTGGCGTTTTCCAAATTCTATCGGGAGACGGCAGCACTGGCGCCCTTATCGCCAGTCACATGCGCATCCGCAAAGTAAGTTTCACAGGCTCCATCGCCACGGGGAAGAAGATCCAAGAAATGGCCGCAAAATCCAATCTCAAGCGCGTCACACTCGAGTTAGGCGGTAAGTCTCCAGCCGTAGTCTTTGATGACTGCAATCTGGAAAACGCGGTGAAATGGACGTCCGATGCCATCACGGCGAACACGGGCCAGGTGTGCTTTGCTGCTAGCCGCGTGTACGTGCAAGAGGGCATCTACGATGCATTCATCGAAAAGTACAAGGCTGCCATGAAGGACAAGGTCAAGCAAATCGGAGATCCAGATGAGGAGTCTACGACTATTGGGCCTCTTGTTGACGAAGCACAATTCAAGCGCGTGCAAGGCTTCATCGAGCGCGGCCAGGAAATGGGCCAAGGTACGCTCGCTGTTGGCGGCAAACGCGTCGGTAACTCGGGATACTACATTGAGCCTACAGTCTTTACAGACATTGATGCAAAGTCTGAGCTACACTGCGAAGAGATCTTCGGTCCGGTTTCCGTGGTCAAATCGTTCAAGACGGAAGAGGAGGTTCTGGCATTGTCGAACAACACTAATTTCGGGCTCATGGCTGGCGTCTTCACAATGGATATCAATAGGGCGCTGCGCGTAGCGAGTGAGTTTGACAGCGGCATGGTGGGTATCAACTGTGTCAGCTTGATGTTTATGAACACGCCGTTTGGAGGAAGTAAGGAGAGTGGGCTGGGTAGGGAATGTGGTATCCATGCGCTCAGGGCGTTTACGGAGCCGAAGACTATCATGATCAACATGAATTTCTAGATTGTTCAGGGCAGGCTCAACAGACATTGAGTCTCTTGCGGCACGGGTTGCGATCTTTATCAATAAGTTGAGATCTCGAATATCATTGAACGTTGTATATTTTAGCAATGTTATATCCATCTGCTCATTCAGTGTCGACTAGGCCATGCGCTACGGCATAATTGAAATGTTTAATTCGGGTACAACAGTACATCCGACAACACATTCCTATGGAATCAGCTTTGCCTTGCGCATCCTGTCGAACACCGTCCACCACGCCTCTTTCGGTGTCCTCTCCTCCGTAAATCCCGTACTGTAGATCTTTGTCAAATCGAAATGCCTATCAAAGTCGAAAGTAGTCATGAGAAAATGCTCAGAGATCTGCATTCCACGGCCACTATCAATGTGTCCGCTTTGCAGTCCGTACTTCTTCTCCGTTGCCAGCCAAGTGTCCATATTGTCGTTGATAAACTTGCGCATGTCAATTGGTTCCGCGAGAGGCTTCGTGCCCTTTAGACCAAAGTATGAACAAAGAACAGGCCACTTGGCCTCCCAGTTGTATGGTGTCTTGGAGTCGCCGAGGTTATAAACAGCACCCTTGGCGGTAGAGGGAGAAAGCGTAAGATGAATTGTTTGACGTGCAATCATATCACTGCTCGCATCGTTACTCAGGGCCTTCCAGGTTCCTACCGTGCCAGGAAATGGACATTTTGCTCCCTCGCCATGGACTGCCTTCCATACGCCTAGGTAAAATGCTACCGACGTGGCAATGGAGTAGTAGTTCTGATTTGGCACGAAGCCGACGACGAGATCTGTTCTGGTTTCAATGAAACTCCATTTCTTGTCTTTGGCGTATTTCGTGATAAAGTCTATCTGCGCGTGGTAAAACAAGTGCTCGGCATGTGGGCTGGGTATAGGTGGGGCTGATTCGGAGAGGGGAGGCGAGGGAAGAGCGGGAACCGACGAGCCAGGGGGAATCGTCGACTCATACCAGGAGAGATTGGCGCGGAGATGACAACCATCTGCCAAGTCAGTCTATTTCCTACCTTGTAGTCAGAATGTATGACTTACAGATTTTCGTCCCAATCTGCAGCACAATGAATTCAAGAGCTGGACATAGCTTATCAACTGCTTTGACCGCCTTTGAGAACATTTCCAGTGCCTCGTCAAGCTCCTTCTTTACATCCATACCCGCTTTGTATGCAAAATAGTATACGTGGGTTACCTCCGCGACATCAGGAATCTTCTCCTCCAATTCCTTCTCAAGACTCTCTTGGCTATGGGCGAGCAGGTCAACACCAGAGACCATATTGAGGCGAGGATCTTCCGGCCATAGGGTTTGGGAGAGGGTGATTGGACGGTTCGAGAGAGCGTGAGCGCGCTTCCAGGTGCCCTTTTCGGGGTATTCGGTGAGTATCTCATTAATGAAAGACCAGCCTATTTGGTCGAACGTAAATCAGTGTGCCGGGTCACCACATGCACTGCCGTTACTGACCTGTTACGCCCGAGGCGCCGAACACGATCGCAGATTTTGACATTGTTCAATGGATTCGATGGGATTGCGTAAAACAATTGGAGAGAGAGAGAGAGATGAACGCTTGTTGCAACTTCGACTCTATACTACACCTATTACAGGTATATTCTTTCTCATCCGTCTGATACTTGCCAAGATGTTGTCAACGTATTTTTTAGGTTGCGCCAGGCCACGTCGTGAGAAAGAGAGGTTAGCTAGAGCAGCTAAATGGACTAGCAGGGCATCAAGCAGCTAGGGTAGCCATACGAGTCGAGCAGTCAGCATTCACACAAACAAGTAATGAGGAGAATATGTAGCTCAAGGTGCAACATTCAACGCTCCTTACGAGCTGTCAGTATTGATGTTGCGGGGGGTTCAGTCTGCAATATGCTCTTCGATGGTATCCTACGCTGATGCTATTCTAGAACCAGGGACGATAGATGGCGGGGTCAACGACGATACTAGTGCATCATCAAGCCCGGGTGAGTTAACAACAGTCGTTCGCTTAAGTTGCCCGAGTAAACGAGCCGAACTGAGGCCGTTTTTGCATGCTTTGTCATGGTTACCTAAAATTTTCTCCGGCTACGAAGATGTTTGATGATATGCGGGAAGCTGCGATAACAGCGTAAGACTGACTGTTCAGTATCTTGGACCCTTACATAAGTAGCGGGTAGAGGAATTCTGTAGCAATATCCGGGGAAATATTTTGCGTACGAGTGATCACTGTAGTTCGCTGGGTTGAATAAAACCCGTAACGTTACGAAGACATATTGCGCAATTTTCAAATGCTTTCAAGGCCACAAACATGTCAACTCATTCTTATGGGAAGAAGGTCAGAAGTATAGCTGCAAGTCATATTACTGTATTCTGTGCATGATCACATAAAGTAGGACCTCACGTTCCTGGACCTCGTACACACTTTGTTCCCCGAACAAACATCTGTCTTGTCCATCATTTTGACCATCAAATACGCTTGACTGAGAAGAAAAAGTGAGAAGTCGATAACGCTGCACCACAGGGTATCAATAAACACAATCTCAGATAAATGCGCCTAGGGTTTTTTTTAAATATACCATTAGTCCAACACCGTGTGCTCCGTTGTCTACCCTGTTGACTGTTTATTGGCTGCGACGCCGAAACAAACGACTAACGATAGCTCCTATTCATTGTTGCCATAATATATGGTCACCTTGTCCAGAAGAGCAAAGATCACACCGGTTGCTGCTATGTTCAGGTTGGTGATGGTAGCAGTGTCGTTGGCTCGTATCCATGTGGTGGGTCCAATCACTACCCAAGAGACACTATGTTCTCTCGCCACTGCAAGGTACATGCACCTAATGGGCAAAGCTCGAGCCTTGTGTTCAAGGACATCTTCCAGATGCCGAACTTCCCGATGGCACCGATACAGCAATCAAAAACGCGTTGTTAGTATCGGAGTCACCCCGCATAACGTCTTCCGTAACCCCTCAGCAGGCGCACACCCTAAACATTGAATCATCATGCAGCCACAAGCCTCAGATAAGCGACGCATATGGAGGGGAACTGGAGTAGCCAAAGATCTCGCTCCCAGATACACCTTTATTTCCGAAAGCAGAAGCAACGAAGTTGGGCCTAAACTGATCCGTGTTTCGTGCAACGTCGGAAGTCACCCGAACCACGGCTAAACACTCCACAATCATTGACCATTATATCGGAATATTGTGATGCGTTTTATGTCCTTTCTTTTTGATTGTCTATTGTCCTAAGACTCTGCCTTTTGCCTTAAGGTTGCAGCCTCATCTCTCCTTGCTGCATATTGTTTTCTCCACCGGTTATACCAAAACATCAAGATAAACCACACCTTTCGATTCTGTGCCAGCCTCAGATCACTGAGTCTGCGTTTGACAATCGCCACGATGGGTGATGCAAGAATGCCAAATGGGGCCCACGTTAATGGTCATAGTCATGATTATGATTACCCGCCATCACATACTGACGGCCCTTACAAAATCCTGAACCAATACCATTCAAAGCCTGCCAAGTTACGGGTAGCATGCATTGGTGCCGGCGCGTCAGGTCTTTGTTTGGCATACAAGATGGAGAAGATGCTAGAGCCTGGATCTTGGGAACTGACACTTTTTGACAAGAACCCACACTTTGGCGGAACCTGGTATGAGAACACTTATCCAGGCGTTGCTTGTGACATACCCTCGCACGACTACAATTTCACGTTCGACCCGAAACCCGACTGGTCAACATTCTTCGCATCAGGGAAGGAAATCCAAGGTTACTTTGAGGACTTTGCAGAGAGGCACGGAAGCAAAAAGTACATGCAACTCAACAGCAAGGTCGAGGAAGCAGCTTGGAACGATGGAGATGGATGCTACAACCTGACCATCAGAAATCCAGCGACTGGCTCGATGAGGAAAGACTGGGCGCATGTTTTGGTCAATGGATCAGGTATCCTGAACAACTGGAAATGGCCGGAAATTCAAGGACTTCATGATTTCAAAGGTCCACTACTCCACTCAGCGTGTTGGGATCACAGTGTCGACTTCAACAATATCACTGCCGGTGTCATCGGCATTGGCTCGACGAGCGTCCAAATTGTACCCTCACTACAAAAGATTGTGAAACAGGTAAGTCATGATTGCAACCGGCACGGATGTAGTGAACAAAAGTCTGATATCTTGCCTCCACAGCTTGAAGTATATATGCGAAGTCCAACATGGATATCCCCACCCTTTGGTGCTGGTGCACTCACCGACAACCTTCAAAAGGGCCAAGACATCGATCCAGGCCAGCGTCAGTACACCTTCACCGAATCTGATATCAAGAGGTTCAAAGAAGACCCAGAATATCACCTGGAATTCAGGAAGAAGATAGAAGCGGAGATCAATAGCTTGTTTGGTATGTACCAGCAAAACTCCGAGCTGCAGAACCAGTTCAAGGACGTCATTACCAAAGAGATGCACCGACGAATGGGTCCTGGCCACGACAAATTGAAAGAGTTCATCATTCCCAAATGGTCTGTAGGTTGCAGGCGGATTTCGCCTGGAGACGGCTTCTTGGAAGCGCTCACGCAAGACAATGTTACACCAGTTTTTGATGGGATCGAGCGCGTGGTTCCAGAAGGCATAAAGACAGTCGATGGCAAAGTCCACAAACTAGACGTAATCGTATGCGCTACTGGATTCCAGGTCGCTTTCCAACCAGCCTTTACCGTGCGCAATGGCTCAGGGGTTTCCATCAAGGAAGACTGGACGGATGGGCCTAATCTTTACATGGGTGTTTCAGCACCGCGATTTCCCAACTACTACACCATAGTGGGCCCTGGTGCAACATGGAGTAATGGGACACTACTACCGAGCATCGAGACAACAATCGAGTATGGTGTCAAGTGCATGAAGAAGATGCAGTGCGAGGGCATCAAAGCAATGAGCGTGAAGCAAGAAGCGCTGGATGAGATTTACGCTCACTTTGACGAGTTCCACAAGACGACCGTGTGGCAAGAAGAATGTCGTAGCTGGTTCAAGAATGGGTCGACAAAAGGCCGAATCTACCTGTGGCCAGGTGCTGTAAGTTACTCCCGTTTAACCCATGATCGTCCGTCCCATTACCTTGCTATCGTTACCTTCCTCCTGTATTACCCCGCATTATTCCTTCAGCCACTAACGCACGGGATGCAGACGATTCACTTTCTCAAAACGATCAAGAACCCGCGCTGGGAAGACTACGACTACGTATACAGATACAAGAATCGATTTGCATTTTTGGGCAACGGAGATGTCAAGGCGACGGCAACACGGGACTTGCATGGGCTCAGCCCCTACATTAGGAACTGGGACCATGAATGGGATGTGGATTGAGGGGACACTGGGTGTACAGTCTTTGATGGTACGGCATACGGTTGGATGGACATGGCGTTCTTTTTGGTCTACTTATACTGAGCGGAATGTTTCACTAAGATGTTTGAAAGATCTACACAATAGCTGTTTGCTTTCTTCTTCGTCCTCTGGTCCAATCGACGAGACGTTCATTGTGCAGCTCCTCCATCGAATTTCATCGACCTGTGTAGCATAAAACTACCGATACGGGGTTTCATCCGGCGTCGTCTGGCTCGAGAGACAGCGCGCATGTCAACTTGTGCTGAGAAGCTAAATGCACGTCCACCTGTGGTGATGACAGCTTGCTTGCGAAGCCGCATACAGCAGGTGTAGGCGCGGATGCTGACATCCTAGCCTCCACCTCGAGATCGCGACGGTTACCAGTTCCAAGATTCCGCCACACCCATTCCCAATCCACCCCCTCACTCCGACGCATCTCGAGTCAGACTGAACCCTCAGCTCCTCCAACACGACTCGCAGATTCTGGGGTACCATGAGAAATGCACCACGCTACGAGGGTAGTGGGCTGTCATTGGAAGAGTTGTGGAAACAGGACCACGTCAAGGCTTTACGTACGTAGCTGAATGCGCGTCACACCCAAAAACCCCTGTGACTCCTGCCCCGGAATGAATGCACCGCATCTCTACAGCAGATCTCTAGGATTGGCTACGGCGGTCGCATGCATGTTCGGCTCATTACCGGTCAACGGGCAGCATGTTGAGTGATAACTTCCTACTAACCTTCTCCTCACAAGCGAATCCTCCGCGCCCGGAAAGCTCAGGGTCATCTTGCTCTCCCTTCATTGCGCCGAGCGTTCGGATCGATACGGGCATACCAATCCAGGACCAAACTTGGCTAGTAGCATATCACTTCAGAGCAAGCATGGCACTCCTTATCGCAAATGCCGTCTGGAGCGAGTCGAGAAGAGCTGCCCGGTAGAATGGAATTGCGGGGCCCCACCTCCAAGGCGCGGACGCATGCTGCTCCCCCAGCATTTGGCGGGAAAGGTTTCGGTCTAGTCTTAGCCCAGTCGCTCAGTACAGGCCGAAGTCTGGATTTAGTGTCGAGTCTTGCCATCGTGGTGGGTCTTACAGTCTCTCCCCAAGACATTCGTCGCACTATACGTGGCATCCCTTCTTCCTCTTACACACTGATCTGCAGCGTCCAACGCGCCAGACGCCAAAATTGACCCTAAAGAAAGTAATGGCTGGCGAGAACAAAATATCGAGTACACCCAAAGTGACTAAGCAACAACCCGAATCACAAGAACCCAAGTCGAGGAAAGACAGCAAGGCCGATCAGAACGTGCCTGAGAAGACATCTTCGAAAGAGAAGTCTTCAAAACCCCGTCACAGAGCATCTATCGCCTGTGCCTCGTGCCGAGACCGTAGGATTCGTGTATGGTTACTACCTTTTTAGATACGAACCTTTCTGACAAGCTACAGTGTGTGGTACCTCCGGGAGAGAAAGAGTGCACACAGTGTAAACGATCAGGTGTAGAGTGCGTGATCAAGAATGACGATGAGCGGAGAAGGTATGTCAACAGTATCAAATATCCAAGAAGTGGCTAATAAATGTATAGGCCGATCTCGAGAGCATACATGTGCTCTCTCACCGACCGCGTCGCTCTTCTTGAAGCCATGCTGAAGGAGCGAGGCGAGGAAATACCTCCAGCGAACCATCCACCCAAAACACGACATAATGCTCCGAATATCGAGGAAGAAGCCACCTCGCCAAGTCGAAAGGTTACCGAGCACACGACTGCACACAACGATAACTCTAGTCCTGTTAGCCAAGAAAGTCCTCCGGAAGACTACCCAGATTTTGAGCAACAAGACTTCGGTCTCAGCCCCTATATCTCAAATGGCGACGCAGACAGCGTGGGTTCACCGCCCATGCTACCCCCACCAAAAAAGGACGGCATGGTCAACCGACTTTTGTCTACACGCGGCCATCTCTCATTTGATCAGCTCAACGGGCGTCTTCGATACTTTGGCCCGACAACAAACTGCCACGTACATTCCGAGTCTGTCAACCCTTTGAACATCACCCAGGAATTCAATGAGCAAGCCCGCCGAGCCGACAGAATTATACGCTCTCTCCCACTCGAAACATACGACTATCTCATGAATCTGTTTTGGCAATTCTACAACCCCGTCCTTCATGTACTACACCAAGATGCTTTCAATGGGGATCGCGAGACGGGTCGCACGCAGTTCTATTCTGGCTTTTTGCACGTCTGTGTTTTGGCTATGGGATTTCGCTTTGCTAACAAGGAGAGACCGGATATCCAGAGAATTAGTATGCCTGGCATGGAGAGTACCTTGCATCGTGAGGCCAAGTATATGCTTGATCAGGAGCTTGAGAGGCCTGGCGGAATACCCAGTGTGATTGCACTGCTACTACTGGGAGATTTGGAGTGCGGTGTTGGCAGGGACAACAGTGGGTGGATGTATGCCGGCATGGCTGTGAGACTTGCGTTCGACATTGGGTATGTCTTGTAAGTTCTGTAGGGGACCTAGAAGTATTACTGACATTGATTTAGTCTCCACCTCGACACACGTTCTCTAGGTCTCCCTCCCCGCGAGATTGAGATTCGACAGATGACTCTCTGGGCCTGCGTGATCTACGACAAGTACTGGGCACTCTTCCTCGGTCGTCCAACATCCATGAAGTCTGCGGATCTAGAAATCTATCATCTCACCAAGAAATTCGAGCGTCTCGGTACTTGTCGCCCCGCTGGTCCCGAGAAGAGTACGGAAACCATGATCTACGAAGCTCTTCTCGACCTCATGGAGCTCGCCGGTAAAATAACAGAAAACATGGATCCTCATCGTTCTCAAACCATCATGTCAGATCCACAAACTGTGATCGATCGAAACCAGTACATACGCATGGCAGCGCTAGATCGCGAGTTTAGCAGCTGGTACGCCAGACTACCCGAGCAGCTTCGATGGACGCCAAACAACATCGCAACAGCACCCGTTAGTTTCTTCCTGCTGCACCAGCAATACCACTCAAGTCTGATCTTACTGCATCGCCCATTCGCGCTCTACGAGGACCAGGCAGGCAACGAAAACGAACCCGACGACCATTTCTCTACGCTGAGTAGAACGGTATGCACGAAACATGCAATCAGAGTAGCAAGGATATACTGGCAGCATCGCCAGCGATTCGACACAAAGCAAATCTTCATCACTGGAATGCAACATGCCGTACGTATCCGTACAACTCAATTCCTCTTAAAAAAAGAACAAATATTAACCAGTGAATTCTAGGGCACCGCCGCAACCGCTCTCGTCGCAGCCTTAGCCTTCATCAAAGACCCCGTCTCCCGCGCAAACAACATGCAATACCTCGAATGCCTCGCCGCTGCCCTCTCCGACATGGCACATACCTACCAGCCCGCCGAGCGCATGTCCACCGTGCTACGTGCCGTAATGGTCGAACTCCGCGGCGGCCCGGATCCCCTGTCCGCAACTTCCTTCTCCATCTACAAACCGCCCTCTAGCCTCATCCCCGCCCGCAGAAGCAGTACTATCGATACCGACGCAGACATGACCTCACGCACCACGCAGTCCTGGCATAAAAAACGCCAAATGAGCTTAGGCAGCACGCCGCGGCCCCGCGCCAACACATCGGGAACAAGACATAAACGCACAATGAGTTCTAGCACCACAGTAACGAGTCCACCGCTTCACCCTTCCTTATCCCTTCAAGCCGCTCAAGTACCACCACCTCCTCCTCGCTTCGACGACCACCACCACTCGGATAATTACATCTTAATCCCGCCATCCTCCTCCGACCCACCCCCTTGGTGCCCCGATCTCAATCACACCCTCTCCACACCCTCCACCACCGCATCTTCCTCATCCCTATCACAGTCTAGGCACAACACCGGCTGGATCCGCTCAGAGTACGAAGCGCAAGATGCCATTTCAGCGCTCGCCAGCGCGCATTTTCCCGAGCTGAGCGCGTTTGGTGACGAGCTGGGTAGTGCTGGCGGTGGTGCTGGTGGTGGGGGGGAAGGAAGGATGAATCTGGATTTTATGCCACTAGGGGAGGAGTGGGAGGGTGGTGTCATGGGGGTGGGGAGTGATTTGGATGGGTTTCCGATTCAGGGCAAGGCGTTTTGATGGGATAGATTGGGTTAAAGCTGCAAGTTACGACGGTTTTTTTGGTAAAAATATCTGGTGAGGTAGATGGAGAGTGTTTTAGTGTTGTCCGTGGTAATTTTTTTTCCAAGCAACCTCGCTCGTCTCGATAATCCATTCTGGCATTTTGTAAAAAAAAACTCCGAACTCAATGCATTTCGCCTTATCGAAATTATCCATGCTGTGTGCATAATTGGTCGCTTCTTGCTTCCCATAAGACACAACTCTCATATCTGCGAAAGTGCTAGGTCTCGGTGGAATATACATACTAATCACTCAACGCCGTAGCACCGGATCGGTAGCTTTGTACGAGGGAGACTCGTATCTGCACGATATGAGGATGCAGATGGGATGGTCTATGGAGTGAGGTGCTTGTATTCGGAGCACGAAGGCATTGGCTTTTCATTGTTCCAACTTTTGTGCTGTGGAAAGGGGGATGAGAAGGGTGTTGTGTCCGGTTCTTGAGGAGGGGATGACGGATCGGCTTGTAGTGATGAGTATGTTGTGCTGTAATCGTCTTCAGCGGCTGCGGGGGGTAGTCGATTGTGATCTGCATATGAGGCTAGAGCTGTGTAACGTTTTTGCTGCGTGTGATCGTTGGTTGATGGTGTGGCGCGTTGTGCGAGCGATTTGCTGCTTTGCCTAGTATCCTCGTTATGTGGTCTTGATTTCGACATGTTACTCTGCTCCCATTGTTGATTTCCCATTTTTTTTTGAGTGTTTGGTTGACGAATCAGGCATACCCCAGTTTATGAGAGTAAAAGTCTCTTGTGATGGTGTTCCTAGATCATAGGTCTCTAACAGCTGCATGCCAGTATGACCCATGACGTTTTCAATCCCAGTCCATCCTTGTGATACCCCATCTTTCTCAGCTCCATACCCGGCAGTATGGTGTTCTTGCCGATCGTGGCTTTGATTATTGCCGTGTGGTGATTATGCAACGATGTCGTGCAGCGTCTGGAGGCCTCGACTAATCTTTTCAACCGCGATCCTCGCAAGTTTATGCACGCTGTTTCCTTCGAGTTCTTTGAATATCAATCAAATTTGTTCGGCCTTCAAGACGCCATCAGTTCAATGCTGATGGATTTTTCTGATGGAGGAACCAAAATGCAGAAAGAATGTCTTTTGATGAGGTTATCACGATAGCTCGGCCGTGAATATAAGCTATCGGCGACGGCGCGGGTGATGAACTGTTTGAACAAGAATGGTTTACGGTTTGCTGATGCAGTGTAGTATCTCTGCTGACCTGCAGATCATTCAACGCTCCTTGATGCATTCTCTGTCGGTTAAGAAGTATGATATAGGTACGGGCTTTGCAATGGAAAACTGCTTCTTGTAAGTAAACATATTGAGAACATAATATTTTTCTCCCTGGACACCAATAACAGCAAAAGCTATGCATATGAAAAGGCTCCGCCGAATGTCATTGGTTTTATTCCAAGCCGTGAATAAAAAGCTCCATCTACTGGTAGTTCTCCAATAGATGAGATAGGATCAACAAAAGTAAATTGGTCAGCGTACCGGTCGCTATGGTCCTGAGTGACCAGAGGCTTTGTGACGATGTGCTTTCCGCATCAATCCAAGCAAGATCAAACTGAAGTGTTTCAGGCATCGTCTCCAACAAACCGCAAAGCTCTTTTGTGAACTCATCGACCTGAGAATCATTGAGTCGATCGCTGCGCAGAATCTGCCTAGAAAGCACGGTGAATTGCATTATGAAATCTCCGAGCCGCAGCATATTGGGATCTGTTATGAGTTCCTGGGGCCAGGAGCAAGCGCCAATGCTGCTGATTCCCAGTGGTCGCCCAAATGTCATGGAATACTCCTCGTCGATTCGGAGCATGTACCACCAAATCTTTTGACGCGTTGCGACCTCCGCTTCAGTTAGGGAGAAGGATGTGAGATGTTTCGGGTTGCAATGTAGACCGATAGAATGAGCCAATCTGATAGTAGTGCCGAATAGTATGAATGCGTCTAAGAATCTTCCACTATTAGCCAAGTACTTTCCGATCAATATGAGTGTTTGGACGGCCACCAGAGACGGCTTGTGCATAAACGAAGCCAATCGTAAAGCCTGCATTGATGCGGCAACTGCAGATAATGTGAGCTGAGCAGCTATATGTCTTGTCCGACTTACTGTAGACGTTACCTCTCTGCGCCTCTACTTCCATTTTAGCGGCATCGCAGCTGCCATTCTTTCCCAATATCGAGTGCTGCGCGCCAAGAGCAATGACTGCGAGGATCAATGCCAGCATACTCGGACAGGAGTGAGAGTTACTCTTAGCATCTGATAGAAAACGCTCTGTCTCAACTCTGGATACTTCTGCAGGGATACGCATGCTCACACTATGTTCAAATACGTCCATGTATTCTGACAACTCAGGTTTTGCGGGGAGACAACTGAGCAATTGTGGAATACATTCTCCAGAAGAAGCACTGAAGAGCGTGGCAAATCCATACGCTGGGGTGTCTTCCGATGTGAATATGTCTACTGGACATGGTATTATGTGTGTCAATGTTGTCGGGTTGTCAGTGTTGACCGAACTAAACTCAATGAATGTTAGCCACGTTCTCACGGGTTACAACATCTACCCACATCATTGATGACAGTGGCTATTCCGGGTGAACCAAAGTATATGCTGTCTTGCCACTCAGACTCTTAACATCAGCTCTGCTTCATAGACCGCCGTTTTCCCGCTGGGCTAAGCCCATTGTCGGTGTGTGAACCTGGAGGTGAGGTGTGATCAGATTGATCATCATATATTGGTATACCGAGTACGCGAAATCGCTCCTTCAGTCGAACATTCTCGGCCCGAAGTTTACGGAGTTCGTAACTTTGCTGAATTGGGGTGTAATTGCCGTCTTCAGTTATGAAGTGGCATTCACGGGGAAGACCACGAACACAATAGGCTGGACATGGTTTCGTGCGGTCACACTATCATCTATCAGCTATTCAAAGAACGGGGCCATTTGATTCGAATGCGCTATAAGTGTCCAGCCTATTGTAGAGGGATCTAGGGGCATGTTCAGTGAGAACCAACCTTCACCTTCCGTTCTCGACACTTTGTACAAGAAAGGGGCTGGCTTTGCAGCCGTGGCGGTTGTTTTTTCCGTGTCATAATGTTCTCGCCTGAAGTTTGGTGTTGGAGAGCATAGCCTCGCTCAGATGACACTTCTCCCATGACGTAAGAGATACGTCCATGTTTGGTGTTATGGGAATGGTCAAGGACGAGGAAAGAGAGGGAATTTCAAAGTGGTCGAAAACTGGTTCACCTCGGGCATACGGGCAGCTATGAGAGAGAAGAGCATGAGATGAATTTGTACAGGTTAATTACAGTTCCTCAAAAAGTCATTGTTATCGGACATCTACCGTCCAGATATGCCCCCAGAAATCTGGCCCAGACTCAATGCTGTGTTCAGTGAACGAAAATCATTAGCCTCACTTATCTGTTGGCAAGTAGAAACAGTTGCAGTGTGGAGGTACTACCAATGAAGATAGTAATCTTCAACCAACGGTTCAATGTCTAAATCAATTGTATTGCATTATGCATACGCCACTGCTGTATGGCGTCGTGGCGGCGTTGTACAATGATATCGCCAAGGCGATGGAAGTACCATCGGAGCACCGATGGCGGTGAAAAACGCTCACGACGACCCGAGACTTTGGTCCGCGCACTCAAATCTATCCATGCACATGTGCATGGCCAGTCAACTCGGTTTATCTGCGCACGTGCCACCACAGCGCCACGATCTTGACACGAGTGCGTCACCTCCTGCACTGGGTTGATCTCCGGCATTGCATATGTGGCTTACATATAAGTGTGTTGGTGGTCGCTGGAATCTAGGTTTCGAAGACTGTTGGCCCCTTCTCGTGACTTTGTAAATTTTCGCTGCAGGTCGTCATGACATGGTCCGCTCATGTGACTGCCGGAATACGTGAGGCTGATCCATTTGACATTTAGCAGAATGTTGAGGGTGCATGCTCCAAAATGTCGCACTAAAGCGCCTCCTTTGCAACGAGAGACCAAAATCATTGGCAACTCAAATCGCCGGTAAACACATTACAGAAGCTAGCAAAGGGGCTTTGCATCATCCTTCTTTGGATTCAGCTCCTTCAAGCCATAGTGCCTGTGCTCAAACAACAGCGCTCTCGTCGCGGTGCACGAGACGAACTGGCTTCACGAAGACGACTCTAGCGAAGACATCTACCATCTCTAACTTCACCTCCCACTCGTCGCCCACCTCAACACCTTCATATTGTAACATGGTAGCCACAAAGCCATATTCAGGCAATTGACCAACTGCATCTCTACCTTCTCGAACTTGTCGAACCTGGAATTTGAAAATTTCGGGAAGCGGCGCTTCCTTGTACTTGAAAGCGCGGAGGAATGCCTGAGAAGCCCAGTAGAGTGTTGCGTCTCGCTTGGCTATTGAGATGATGCGCTCTCGAGGTGTCAGCGTGACAATTGATTCCTGGATCTGCCGGAGAGAGAAGGGCAGCACGTTTTGTGATGAAGCAGCCTTGTTAAGCGCGTTGAACTTTTTGCCGGTCCGCGCTTCGTATCGCACGGCAGCTTCTATCTGCCAATGTGCAATCATGTCACTGAAGCGACGAAGGGGGCTGGTGACCTTGACATAGCCGGGCACTCCGATGATCTTGTGTGGCAATGAAGAATAATGTGTGATGGCCCTACCCAAAGCACGAATCAACTGTATACCGAGAAGTTCAGGTACATCTCCATGCTTTTTGTGGTGCTCATTTATGACGTCTCGGAGTTCTTCTGCGGACAGGTTTTCTTGGGATGGAGGTTCGACTGTGCCTCTGTACATGACAGGTATTTGCCGCTCCGCGCACCATTTTGCTGCTGATTGACCAGCCAACATCATCACCTCCTCGACTATGTTCTTGGGCCCAATGTCTAAGGGCAAAAATTCTTTGGGCGTGGTGTTCTTGTAGTCAATAATAGGGTCTCCTTGAATATGACGTGCTCGACTGATTGAAGGCGGATGCCAAGTCAAACCAGGCGTAGTGGCGCTTTCATAGACCTGGACGCTCACGTTGTTCGAATTGAATCGGACGCCACCAGCAGCTCTACGACTCTCCCATAGTGCTTTTGCAGCAGTATACAGGTCACGGAGCTCCTCTAGTTGACTGGGTGATACGCTTGGAAGCGGCCGCTCCTCACTTTGGGGTACCTCCCCACCAACAGTGAATTGTTGGCTGCTCAGGGTATTCTCATCGCCCAAAAGCTTAGCAAGCTCAGAGGGGGTGAGGCTGATCATGTTTCGAATAATGCCGTGCTGAATCTTTGTCTCGAGCACAGTGCCGAGCTTGTTGATACGAGAGCTGAACGTAATGGCAGGGCGATCATGGGCAAGACTGAAATGTCTTTCGGACGCCCAAGTCGGAAGCATAGGATAAGATCGCTCCGGGGTGTATACTGTTTCTGTAATATGGGCAGCGAGACCGGAAAGTGTGTGGGTTTTGTCAAAGAATGCCGTTGGATTGGCCACATGGACATGAACCCAGAATTCATTGTCTTCCTTATTGGATCCCTCGACTCGCTCAATAGAAATGCCATCGTCAATTTCCTTAGCACCCACATCGTCAACGCAGTAGACTGTCGTTGTGCCCCAGTCGCGGCGTAAGTCTGCCATTGAGTCACGGAAGTCGGGATTTCTTCGCGTGAGCTCTGCCTTGTCTTTAAGCACTTCGATGTTGCGTGACAAGCGAACGGTGGGAAGCATCAATTGCTCATCGTAGAGCGCGCGGTTTTCGTGGGGCGAGATTACACCAATCTCTTGTAAGAACAGCAATCCAGTGGCACGTCTGATGTTGCTGAGACTTTCATCGGCAATTCCCTCATCCCGAACTACCCCTGGTTCGTAGCAATTCGTGGCAGAGATCAGGCCAATGCAAGCGGCATGAAGGCCTGCCATGCCTGCAAACTGATCGTTGAGTGCCCATGATTGCAAAAAATTGATGATTTGCTGGTCAGCACTCGTGAAGGATTCACCCCATTTGACCTTTATGGCGGACTTGGGCTCTTTGGATGTAGTACTCGGCCCTACGCCACCATGTTCTGGCTGACGGTATTTCCTGCTGTTTGCGATGATCCTGCGCGCTTTATCGAGGAAGTCCTTGACATAAGCCGCGCCCTTGGTAGGCTGTTGCTTGTTATTATGTGACGTGTTGACATTCAAAGCCAGATACTCTCGGTATTCTCGAATCCATTCATGTACAGTTTCAACATTTTGAACGTCTACTTTTGGACGAATAGCAAAGACATTAGTCAGTCTGTGGCTGCGAGAGTCGGATCGAAAACGGAACTCGTTGTGATTGAGTGCTTTGCGTACAGCTAGCAGTGCAGCCGATGACGGTGTCCATTTTGGATCATTGGGTGAGAGTAGTTTCCTGGCGATTTGTGTCAATGTCATCATGCGAGTCATCTTTTCGTCGGCCAAGACTGTATAGGCTGTGTCAAGTGTTGGTGCATTTGTGCGGTAGATGTGCTCTGCTTCTTGCGTCAAACGTTCCAGAGCGGCTATGACAGGAGAGGCAAGGTCTCTAGGGACATGGACTTCGCCTTTAGGATTGGCTTTTGTCGGATCTGTAGGTAGGAACGGGACAAGCGGCTCAACGAGCGAAGGGTCGATGCAGCCTTGTATAGCGAAAGTGACCTTTTTAAGATTTGAATGTGTCCATCTGCCGTTGACTGAGAAGAGCTGGCTACTAGTGTCTAGTTGTTGGACAAAGACAGCAAGCACCGGCTCACGGCCAGCCTGGGAAAGTTCAACCACGTCACCAGGTTTCAAGAACAAGCCGATAGTTATGAGATCGTCCTCTTCAGCTTCCTCTGCACCGTCCCATTCGCTTTTCTTCGTATCCTCGTCGGCCTTTGAAGAAGGGGCGAGTTTGGAAAGACCGTTCAAGACTTCATCGCGCATAGGGTAGTTTCGAAATGCGGAAAGTGTTTCTGGTGTCGGTCCTCCATACTGGTCTTGCCACTTTATGAGATGGTCTCGAATGGCAGTATTTTTGGGACGAGGTAGAAGGGAAGGGTCAAAATTTTGCGAAGAGGTTTCAGATATGGAAGGTAGTTGTGAGCGCTGTTTCTGGTCAGAATATGATTTATTATTTTTATCGAGGTGAAGGCATGGCTACATACAGTGGTAGTGGCATGCAACGCCCGCCGAGGCGTTTGCCCAACTTTTATAGTGTAGATTCCACGACGGATGTTAGGTTGAGCAAAAT